GACAAGCAAAGAAGCAGGAATACATTTTACTTATGCTCATCATAAAGTGGACAGTTAATTTCTGAAACTTTTTACAGGTTGCTGCTGATACAAGCAAATATGCACTTGTTACCTATGCAGGTAACTCACGTTGTTAAGGTACTTTCAGTGCAAATGTACTTTGAGATCACACCTGGTGGCAAGGTCCCTTTAGCTAATGTAATTAAGCCATTGATAGCTAAACATTACAATGTGTTCCTTTTAAGCAGTTGAAACCAAGACACCAATTGTGTAGAGTATATAATTGAATACCCAATGAATAAAGCAGCATTTGAACGATAAACAACATTTCTTGGCACTGAGTTATTATATAATTAGTATGTGTTGGTATATAATTATATTAGCCTTTGGCTTTCAGGACATACACGTGTTCAGCATTATCCCTTCCCGTAGGCCTATAATTTTCCATTATGTGCCTAAATGCTTGTCTATGTTTCCTCAATAAATGGGTTTCCAACCAACTCTAGGGTTAGAGGGAGGTCATTCTGAAATTCTGTAATAGATACATATCTGGCTGTATATTGTTTGGTAGTATATATTCTTACTTTTTCTAGAATGTGTTTTATTTATTAAATACTGATGCTGATTAAAATGCTTACAACATGATTGCATGAAGATCCTGTATCATATTTTGCTATCAACATAGGTGTGCACAACCAACTTCATTAGGGTGTGCATTCCTGATTTTATTTTGTGTTAATAAATAGAGAGAAGCTATTGAAAATGTAGTCACAATGGATATTTATATTTTGTTGTGAAATTAACTGAAATGTAACGTATGCCTTCTATACGTTTTCCAATTTTACTCAGGCCTTCCAACACTCTCAATTTCAGTAGGATGGTCCATCTTTTAAAGTAAAACCATCCCAACTTTGTTTCCTGGTGTCTTGCTTTTGGGGACACCAGGGAACTGTCCCCAAAAAGTGTAGCACAACCGCATCATTAGACACACTCTAGCTACATTCAGTGCTCTGTGCATGGCTCACCTGTAACTGGCAGGTAGCCTGACGTTCATTCATACCAGTGTGACCTTCCTTTGTTTTGTATTTACCATCCCACTTTTTGGGTAGGACCACTCCATGAAGTTATGCCAGTGCTGTGATTTGCGCCACTGTATAATCCCCTTTTACTCCACCAATAATATCCTGCTTTAAGCAACTTTGATGTTGGGGCTATAAATACTTGTCTACATTTAGTGGCATTGATCATTGTCCAAGTCCCAGCAAGATTGTGTCATGCGAGAGAGAATGTCTGCTACAACTTAGGTTATGCCTGTACCTGCAAACATGGTCCAGATACCATGCCTGATTATCAGGTTCAATAAACTTTCCCATTGCACTGAATTTCCCCAATATTCCCACAATGCCATACATTTGTTCCTAATGTCACGTAGTTGCTACATATCGTCTTTTTAAAATAACTATTGTGCTTTTGTATATTTATTTTAGAAAATAATAAGGAAAGAGATTGATTTTCCAGTTTGTGAGTTTCCTAAATATTGATCTTACACCATACAAATTCCAGAAGAATGCATTGCTTCCCTCTGAGATGAACTGATCTATAGAAATGGTAGTTTGGATTTTTTTTTTTTTTAATTATTTGCAAACCACTGCAATTATATGAAAGCTATTAGTCACATAATGTGTGCAGTGTCCTTTTAAAGTGTGGGTTTTCACACTAAATAGAGGATCATTGCAATTTTATAAAAATTAAAAAAAATAGAAAAACCTGCAGTTTCTGCACTGTTTAATGAATTAACCCCTGAATGTTTCACTATCAAGTACGCTATATGCAGTATACATGGAAACCTATAGGGACACTATAGTCACCAAAACAACTTTAGCTTAATGAAGCAGTTTTGGTGTAGATCATGCCCCTGCAATCTCATTGCTGCATTATTTGCCATTTAGGAGTCACTATGTTAATGCAGCCCTAGACACACATCCATGCATGTGACTTACACAGCCTTCATAATACTTCCTGTAAAGAGTCATCTAATGTTTACACTTTTTTTATTGCAATTTCTATTTCATTGTCCTATTCACTTCTCTGTTATTAGATTGTCAGACTCTGTATGAACATTCTGTATGGCCAACTCACGCTTGCAGGACTTCTCGCGAGCTGCTCCCTTCCTATGGAATAGCCTGCCACTAGAGTCTACCCATGTCTTTATTTCATTTAAGAAGTGCCTTAAAGCCCATCTCTTTAGGAAAGCTTATGGCCTCCCAGAGTAACACCTACCTTACATACCTGTCTCTTGCTCTCTCCTAAAGGGCAGCTCTTTACTTTCTCCTCCAGCTCTGCTTCACTCCCTCCTTATTTGATTACTATTTCCTGTCCTATTGTGTTTTACACCCCACCTCCTATAGAATGTAAGCTCGTTTGAGCAGGGTCCTCTTCAACTTATCGTTCCTGTAAGTTTTCTTCTAATTGTCCTATTTATAGTTACATCCCCCCTCGCATAATATTGCGCTACGGAATCTGTTGGAGCTATATAAATGGCAATAATAATAATAATAATAATTAAAGTTCAATTTACAAAGCAGGTCATAAAACATTTAAAGTAAATGAAAGCATTCTATTTCCATAAAGGCTGTGTCAATCACAGCCAGGGGAGGTGTGGCTAGGCCTGCATATATAGAAACAAAGGTGATTTAACTCCTAAATAGCAGGAAATTGAGCAGTGAGGCTGCAGGGGCATTTTCTATACACCACAACTGCTTCATAAAGCTAAAGTTGTTTTGGTGACTGTGGTGTCTCTGTAATGTTATCCAGTGTTAAAGTATATGTTCCATTTAATAAAAAAACATATTTTGCTAAATCTCTTATTAAACACAACTTTGTTTTCTGAGCAACACATTACAATTTATATTACATCTTCATGAGTTGAGTTGAGTTTGTAGGTAAATCATTTTCTAGTTTTGTGTGTGTGTGTCTCAATATTTATGCATTTCTGCAAGAATCATGTTATGACATGTCCAGAAAAATGCCTGTTAAGTAAACATGGTTCTCAAGATCTGCGATTTACTTAAACTTTCTCTGTAACACATTGCCTGGCATATATATTATCTACTATCCAGCTTCGATTTAATATTTTTGCATATGATTTTCAAATGATTTAATAGTTTTAGATAAACTTTTCAAATGATTTTTTAAAACATTAAAATGTCAAAAAAAACTTGATTTATTTTTCATAATATTAAAGTATTTTAAAATTGTATAAAAAAATATTAAATCATTTGAAAAGTTTATCCAACAATATCAAAAGTCTGAGCTGGGCAGCAATTTGTGTATTACCTGGTGTGTCATTTCTGTAACAATGTCATAAACCAACACTCACTCAAAAGGAAAATGTGTGTAGACTAAATGCCAGGTTCAGAGTGAAAACTCATTAGTGGATTAAGAAACATGTTAGGAGCTCTCACAACATTAAATGAAAAGAAAGGAAAAGTAATCCCTTTTATAGAGGCAAAACAAGTGCTATTCTGGGGAAAGAGCTAAATAACGAGCCATCGTCCTGGAAACAAATAGAATGTCTCTCAGCATTTTGTTTTGTTTTGATAAGTCTCCCATTAAAACTAATGCTTCTTTAACAATCAAGGAATATTATGGTTGCCGGAGTCCATCATAGACAGAGTTTTAGCTACTCTCTGGCGATTTGGCAGTTTTTTCACTTGAGGGAGTGAGTAGACAGAGATATTTTTATTTTACTAAATAACCTAATGTAGAGCCAAAATATTACAAGCTCGTTTTATATAAGCTTGCAATGTGAGGTAATTTGGAATGTCTCAGGATATCCTGTAGAGGTATATTCTTTAGGTGATTTTTTATATTCTATAGGTTATTCTGTTCTGGGCCACATGTGTAATGGAAGAACTTTGACAGTATGAGGATTATATTTCACAGCCATGTTTCCTATCCTATCCCTCTAACCAAACATGTTTCTGTGGTCCATTCCCTGGCATCCAAAACTCACCATATATGAGACTGTAATACAAGAAGGGTGATTTACCGGAGCCCTTCCTGCACAGCCAAATCCCTGTCAACCATTTTAAATGCCACTGACTCAATGCAGGCTCATGTATTGTGTGAATGTAGTTGGCTTTTGTGTAGTGTATGTAAAAGTAAGTTTGTATTTCTGAGTTGTGGGTATGTGATTCTGAATGCATTTTCTCTTTCAGGGACTTTCCTTTCCCCCAGTCCTATATCTCTCACTTTCCCCACAGCGTCCATTTGCCTACATTTGTGTCTCTCTCTTTTCTCCATTGTTTTCTCCCCCATCTCCATCTATCTCCACATGCTGCTCCTCTTTGCTTGTACCTTTCACCTACTTGTGTATTCTGCTTCATTTTTCCCAAGTCATCTCAACCTTCACTTGTGCTTTTTTCCTCTTGTCATAGACTTTTTGCCTCTTACCCCTTACCCTTGCTGTGTCTCTCAACCCCTTATCGCTTTGTGTTTCCCTTCAAATCCCAGATCA